GGGGAAAGGGATCGCCCCAGATCCACAGCACGTGCACCACAGAGCCAGTGCATAAAACCCAGCCGACCCTGGCCTGCAGCCCTTCCCCCTCCTCCGCATCCAGCACCCACCATGTGGGGGTGGAGATTTGCTGCCAAGCAGCCAGCCCTCAGCCTGATGACACCAGAAGCCCTTGTCTTCCTACATGATGGTGGCCTTCCCTTCCTCACCTTGCTGCGAGGACCTGAGCACACTGCTCAGGGGGCCGGCAGCCGTGCCCCTCACAGCACAGGGGTGCCCTCTCCTCACCCACAGAGGAGCCACTGCACTTGGTGTGTCGTGAAGTGCATTGCGGTTTGATGCTGTGGTTGCTGTTTTTAAAAATGTGACTTATGCAGCCGGCGCCACTGCTCAATAGGCTAATCCTCTGCCTGCGGCGCCGACCCTGGGTTCTAGTCCCGGTCGGGGCGCCGGATTCTGTCCCGGTTGCTCCTCTTCCAGGCCAGCTCTCTGCTGTCGCCCGGGAGTGCAGTGGAGCATGGCCCAGGTCCTTGGGCCCTGTACCCTCATGGGAGACCAGGAGAAGCACCTGGCTCCTGGGTTCAGATCAGCGCAATGCACTGGCCACGGCACGCCAGCCGCGGCGGCCATTGGAGGGTGAACAAACGGCAAAGGAAGACCTTTCTCTCTGTCTCTCTCACTGTCCACTCTGCCTGTCAAAGAAAGAAAGAAAGAAAGAAAAGAAAGAAAAGAAAGAAAGAAAGAAAGAAAGGAAGGAAAGGAAGGAAAGGAAGGAAAGGAAGGAAAGGAAGGAAAGGAAGGAAGATCTCATAAAAAAAAAAAAAAAAGTGACTTATGGCCGGCACCGCGGCTCACTAGGCTAATCCTCCGCCTGCAGCACTGGCACCCTGGGTTCTAGTCCCGGTTGGGGCACCGGATTCTGTCCCAGTTGTCCCTCTTCCAGGCCAGCTCTCTGCTGTGGCCCGGGAGTGCAGTGGAGGATGGCCCAAGTCCTTGGGCCCTGCACCCACGTGGGAGACCAGGAGGAAGCACCTGGCTCCTGGTTTCGGATCAGCACAGCGCGCCAGCCGCAACACACAAGCTGTAGTGGCCACTTAGGGGGTGAACCAACGGAAAAAGGAAAACCTTTCTCTCT